TAATTAAACTGCATGAAAAAGCACACTGGACATTTTAGTTGGTAGTAAGGGATGAAGCATTACAAGTCATCTCCAATGCTAGGAAAACATCATTTTGTAACTTGGACCACATAACATATGTTGCTCATGCCAGTAACCCTAGCTACTCAGGAGGCTAAGATTTGAGGATCACAGTTCAAAGCCAGTATGTGTATATCTGAAATTAACCACAAAAAACTGGAAGTGGACCTGTGGTTTTAAATGGTATGGTGCTCAACTTGAGCAAAAAAAAATCAGTTCATAAGGAAATGGACAGACTTGGAAAAAATCATATCAAATGAAGTAAGCCAGAACCAAAGAAACAGACTCAATGGTTTCCTCATTTGTAATAATTAGTATATGTCTAGGACAGTCCTAGAAGAAGATCACATAGCTCAATAACTATGTACATATGACCACATAAAATGATGCTAAGTGAAATGAACTCCAAGATATAGAAACAAGAGTTTGTCCTTTGTTTTTGTTGTTTTTAATATACTGTGTGAGTTATTTCTTTTATCTGTCTTTTTCTCCTTTGGTTTATCAGCTGTTGTCACTGTATCTGATTTTGGTACCCTGTGTCTTATATATATATATATATGTTTATCTGAATTGGGGAGGGGGAGAACAACATAAATGTTGAGACAACGGACAAAGGGTGAACCAATGCAACAGCCATACTCGCAAGACACTATGTTGGAAATGAACTTTACAACTTGGGGGGGAGGATTGTGGGGGAAGGAAAGTGGGAGACAAACAGGGGAAGGGGGAATAGTGTTCAACAAGAACTGTAGTCATTACCTTACATATGTAACTGTAAACCTTTTGTGCATCACCTTGACGATCAAATTAAATTAAAACAACAAAAACAATAATGAAAACAAAACAAACAAAAAAGCCAGTTCAGAAACCATGCCACGGCCCAGTCCAACCCCTACAACCACAAACAAAAAACTGAAAAGAAAAGATTCTAATATCAGCTATGCTTACAATGGAAGGAAACGTCTTTATTAAACGCCTGTATATATGCATTTCACTCTTATTTCATATTTATGAAAGAAGGAAACTGAACATATATCATTTCATCTCAGGTGTGTAGGAAGTATAAATGATAAAATGTAGCTATTATTATTTTAAAACAATTTTAATAGTACAAAAGAAGAAATTTTATTCAAGTAACATATGAAAGAGGATTTTCTTCAGTTATTTAAGTGGTTTTCTTCAGCTCAGAGAGGTATATTTGATATTGAAAAAGAAATATTCTTCTTTTCCTATTTGGATCCTTTTTGATGTTTTTCTCTTGCCCTATTGCTTTTACTAGGAATTCCAGTAAGGTATTGAAGGCTCACTGAGACCAAAGGAGAATTTTCCCAAGAGTGGACCATAAAGGCTCAATAGGTGTGTGTGTGTGTGTGTGTGTGTGTGTGTGTGTGTGTGTGTGTATGATCACTTAAAATAATATTTTTTGAAAAGCACTTCAAGAAATGGAAACAAGAGAATTTTTATTGTTGTTGTTGCTTTTTTGTTGTCTTTTTCCTTTTGGTTTATATGTAAATTTATTTGTCTTTGGGAAGATAAGGGGGACACAAAAAGGTAGGACAAAAGGGTGAACAAATACCAGAGGTGATATTCACTAGACACTGTGGAAAATTAACTATACCACTTGTTGGTGGAATGAGAAGGAAAAACTGGGAGATAGGGAAGGAAGGGTGATAGTTTAAAAAGAAGAAATGTACCCCTTACCTGGCAATTGTAACTGTAACCCAATAAAATATATTTATAAAAAGAAAATACTTTTGAAATAGGACGAGATCACTAGATTTTACAGAAGCTTTTACATTTCTTGTTTTATTTATATTAAGATAAATTTTGCTTTGTTGGTCAGGCTGGCTTGGGGCTGATGTTCTAAGAGGAATAGAATTATTAGCATGGAACACAAAACCCAGCTCAAAAACCTAATTATGTCCTGTTGTTTCTCAGCCATACTTGCAATCCCAATCTGTACAGAAAAAAATTCTTGCACACATAAGTTCAATTAGTTGGAATGATTGGATCATAAGGGCTCTGGGCTACTTAGTGGATTCATCCAACATAATCTAAATTCTTCAAGTAATTCTACAAGTAATTTGGTCAAACAAGCAGAATTGTTAACTGTGCTTAATCTCATAAATATGTCCATTTCCTGAAGCATAAGATGGGAAATCCTGGAGTTAGACTGGACTTGTCTACTATTTTGGACCACAACTCTTCTATTAGAATGTTTCTAAATTCTGTGCTAGTGCTGATCTTGAGTCTGTTCACTTCTCTCTCCTTTAGTCGGCCTCCTCTCCCATAGTTTCTTAAATATGCTTTCACTGCTGTGGAGTGAGGTTTCCATCATGCTTGTATTAGACATTTCATATCTAGCTTCCAGGGATATATATATCACATAAATATAATATATTAATAATATATAATATATAATAATATAATGTACCTTTTGGAATGAGCTAGTATATGTTTAAATGATTTCATATTTTCTTTGCATTTCTCTATATGTAAATTTTACGATGTCAGGGACTACATCCTGTTATATATAACAGTAATAATTTCATAATGCATTGCAGAGAGTAGGCATTTAAATTTTTTTCATGAATAAATATGACAGTTTTTTTTATAATATCTCCCATATATAATCAATTCCACTTAGCCAAAAGTAGCTCTCCTATAATATTCCATTGAATAACTTCTGTGCCTTTTGCTAGTATTTCACATTTTACTGTAATATAGAAAAAAGTGACCTCAATTTGGCAGGAAACTTAAATTAACTGACAAGGAGAACTCATTGTAATAAATGTGGAAGTGTTTTTTTTTTTTTGGATAATATGCATCATGAACTTTTGAAATGTATTTCCTCTAATTATTTAATAACAACAAATACGGATGCATACTGGTTTATAAATGATGTACAATAATTTGCTTTTACAAGGCAATGGAAGTTGACTTCACCAAACCACTGCCCTAATTTTAGATCCATTTCAACATGCATCTTTTGATAGCCTGTCTACTTTTTCATCTGTCTGTATTCTTCGCAGTCTGGTATAGACTAGTCTAGCATGTTGAATTCTGGTACAGAATGTTGAAAATAAAACATTAGTGCCGTGTATGTGTGTGTGTGTGTGTGTGTGTGTGTGTGTGTGCATGTGTGTGTGAAAATTAAGTGGGATAATTTCCTAAAACTAAACACTGAAGAATTATAAAGAAATAATTGCCAGAAAATTGAAAAAGATTAGTCAATATGTATATTTTAGATAATACACAGTTTTAAATTTTTCTTGAACCACAATATTTGTGCATACTTATGGGATACAATATGCTGTTCCCAAACATGCATTCATTTTGTAAAGATCAACTAAGGTTGTCCTAGATATAATTCTGAAATTGTTTGTAAGTGCTAAGTACTTACTCTCCTTTAATTCAAAGTTACAAGTTTACAAATACAAAGCATATGGACTTTTGTTTTCCAAGCAATAAGTCATGTGAAGGACAATATTCGCAAAACACAAATATGTTCGTTGAAACTTCATGTCAACTTCATCAAGGCTCTCAGAATACCACTTCCTGTGTGTTTTGGATAGGGAGGACCACAAAAGTCTTTTTCTTTTTAACTCTAGATTTAGAGGCTTGAAATGAAGCAGATTCTTTTTTATCTCATTTCATTTTTTTAATTCTGTCCCTAGAAGGTGAGCTCAGGGTCACCGGGCGCTTTTGTGGTGACGCACACTGTCAAACGTGATGCTTTACGTCACTAGCAGGAGGCAGCTGCTGGGTCCCCATCAACGACACTTCATCCTCAGACTGAGGTTCTAAACCAAGTTCAGATTCTGCTCCTAGTTGAGAGTGCCAGAATCTTCTGCAGACACCCAAGTCATCCAAGTCAAAGTTTATCGTGCCTAATGCAGGTTTTCATTGTTAGCAGCTCTCCTATGTGAGCTCAGACACCTTGTATAGACAGGCACGGGTGGCTCACGCCTGTCATCCTAACTACTCAGGAGGCTGAGATCTGATGATCACTGTTCAAAGCCAGCCAGGACAGGAAAGACCGTGAGACTCTCATCTCCAATAAACAACCAGAAAACCAAAGTGGTGCTGTGGCTCAAGCGGTACAACCCTAGCCTTGAGCTGAAGAGCTGAGGGACCCAGAGGTCCAGCCCCACGACTGACAAAAAGAAAAAAAGAAAGTAGTGTCCATTCCATGTAGGTTTTATTGTAGAACTTAAGGTCCTATAACATATTTGAAGACCATACATATATTGTGATTCTAAACATAATAAAAAGAAAGTTGTCTTGAGTTAAATTAAGTCAGTTTATCTGAGATGCCTCCTTTATTTTCTATATTACTAAGCATCTATCACGTTGCCATATAACATGGAAACGCTGTGTATCCTCTAAGGAGTTTATAAGAAGTTGAGAAAGTCACCATCACACTGTTGAAATTTGTGCAAATTGGGGGAAAATAAAAACAACCTACATTTGGTGCATTGGGTGTACCTGTCATCCTAGCTATTCTGAAAGCAAAGATTTGGACAACCATGCTTTGAGAATAGGTCAGGAAACAATACATGGAAGTTATCATCTCAACTGATTTGAAGCTGGGAGTGGTGGTACATGCCTATCATCCCCTCCATGAGGAAAGCACAAATAGAATTGTGTGGCCAATTCTTGCAAAACAAGGTCGTATCTAAGAATTCTTTTAAAAAATAGCAAAAGCAAAAGGGCTGAGTTGTGTAATTCAAATGGTAGAATGCTTACCTAGCCCTGGCATGACTTCAAACCTCACTATCACAAAATAAGATTTTTTGAGACATGAACCCTGTTTTCTGTTTCGTAAAATTCGTACCTAAGAGGGACATCTAGTGAGCTAAAATAATAACTACTACTGTACTCCAATATGTGGTATTATATTTGTTACATCATTTTCATGTTAAAATAGAAGCTCTCTTAACACTTATGTGTGTGTTTAATTTGTAACAAAGCCTTATGGACAAGTACAAACAGTAAATCCTATTTTGCAAACCAGAACTCAATGTTGGGTTTGGATTTTGGTACACATAAGAAGGAACATGATTCCTATAATATCTGGCAATGACGGGAGTGTCATTAACTTGTGCAGGGGGCCCTGAGAATAAAGCTGATGTAAAAGCAAATAAAAAACCCACAAACTACAGAAGATATCTATAATTCTAATAAAGTATATAAACAAGCAAGACTAAAACTGCATGATTTGAAATAGTTACAAATAATTAAAATATATATGCTATCATAAGTATCATGTACATAATTTGATAATTTAACATGTAGTTCTACTAGTTGAATTCACAATTTAAAGCAGAATATAAAACTGCATATATATACATACTTATCTATACATATATATATACATACTTATATACTTATATACACACATATACATACATATACATACACATATATACATACACATGCATAAAAATACATATATACACACATATACATACATATACATACACACACACATGTGTTCATTTCTGAAGTACAGGTTTTTTGTTTTTTGTTGTTGTTGGTCGTGGGGCCTGACCTCTGGGCCTGGGCCTCACCCCTCAGCGCTTTAGCTCAAGGCTAACGCCCTACCACTTAAGCCACAGCACTGCTTTTGGCATTTTTCTGCTTACATGGTACTAAGGATTTGAACCCAGAGTCTCATGAATGCATGGCAAGCACTCTACACTGAGCCAACTTCCCAGCCCTGAACTGGAGTTTTAAGTGCCTAAAATCTTGAAAGAAAATATCTTATAATATTAAGAGAATTATAAAGCAATAGATGATACTTATCTTTATATTAAAATTCTTTATTTTATTTCCAAATTATCTGAGCATGCAATGCTTCCAAAATGATAAAAGAGTAAACTATATTTCAAAGTAAATATACATGTAGAGATTATTAAATGTGGTTATTGAAAGCTTCATAATTTTAATGTTTAGAATTATTATCCTAACAATATGCTTCTTCTAGTTTAGAGCAAAACAGACAGCATTCCAGAGCTATTTGTCTACATACATTTCAAACTCTATAGCTTATTAGTCAGCTATAACTTATGGTAACTTTAGCAATAATTGAGAATCATGTGCCTTATGCAATATCTACCATGGAAATGTTTCAATTGTTCATGGGAATATCTAGACCATGTGCTTTAAACTCTTGAAAGCTTAAACTTCAGAATGTCATGTTTCCCTTGCTATACTCTTTATCCTGTGCCCTGAAGTCAAATACATCAGATGTTCGACCCATAATGTCCTCTTAGTCTGCTGAGCTCTTAGGATTTGTACATTTAAAAACATCTAATTTAAGTCCTTTACATATCACTTCTCTTTTTGTTTGGCAATATCTACAAATGTATTCATTCTGATCTTCCTAATGAGTCAAAAAGTCTTTCATCAATGAATTTACAACTTTGGCGTGGGGCTTGGGCAGGGGGTTGGGAAGGAATGGAAAGGGGAAACAAAGGAGGAGACAACAATGCTTGATAAGAAATGTACTCATTACCTTGCTCATGTAATTATAACCCCTCTGTACTGTATTTTCACAATTAAAAAAAGAAACACTTGGAAAAATAAAAAAAAATAAAAAATAGTCCTTAACCAGTGATACTAGATAAAAACTATTTGACCCATTCCACAATATAAATTAGGATTTTCTAGCTTTCTTTTTGCCTTTGTGTCTGGTTTAATTATTCCAAAATGCCATTGGAATCACTTTTATTTAGAATAAAATTTTCTGAGTGAAAAGGTTTTATTCCTACTTTCTCAACACAATAGCTAGGTATAACTTCAAAATGTCTGCCTTCAAACTTATAAAAATCTGTAGACATATATACGGACATATATGTATACATATAAAATAACTCAGGCAAGAAAAAGTCACCACCAATATTTGTGTTTCTACAAATTCCCATATACACAAATAAGTTTCTAAGTTTCTAAGTTTCTCTAGCAATACATTGTCTGTGTAAAGAATCTACTTTTCTCACTGTTTTTCCAAATCAGAAATGCAGTTTGTATTAGTTAGACAGCTCTTGCTCAGGACCTTAAGGACATTTCTGTCCAACTGCATGAAGAGCTACAGTGATCTCAATGCCAAGGAAGGTTCTGCTTTCTAGCTCACTGGACCTGATGAGCGGCTGTTTGTGCTCTCAAAGCAATTCTTCCTTTCTTACAAGATTTACAAGCCATTTTCAGCTGAGTAGTTTTCAAATCCAACTTACTCTGTTGCCAATCAGTCCAGGCTTCTTTTGCTCACTTCAGGAAAGGAATCACACAGGGGTAAACAATACAGAGTGAAGGAGCTTTATTAGACTTATTCTGGAGAGCATGATGGACAGCTTGTGGGAAAGGACTCTCAACCCATTTTCTCTGACCACATTTTGTTAGTTTGGCTGCTCTCTGTACAAGCACACCGACACTTGCACAATCTATTTCTGAAGTCTTTAGTGAACACATTTCCGAAGTTTTCCTGCTTGCGTCTAGCCAGTATTGTGATCTCTTCCTGTGACTTCCATCCTTTTGATCTTTCATCAGAAAGAGTGGGCACCAGGATTTTTGTATGTAAACATTGTGGAGAAGTCACTTTAAGGTTTAAATGAAGCAGGTGGAATCAATAAGGATAAACCAGCTTCTTATTTTGTAATTTAATATTATTGTCAGGTGATGTACAGAGGAGTTACAGTTACATAAATAAGATAGTGAGTATATTTCTAGTCAAACATTTTTATCCCCTCCTTCATTTTCCTCCCACTTTCCCTCCCCACAATGCTTACCGCCAAACTGTAAAGTTAATTTCCAACATATTATCTTATAAGGTTTTTCTTTGTTGCGGTTTTTAATGTATTATGTGATGTTATTTCTTTTTTCTTGCATTTTTTTCTTTTTCTCCTCTGGTTTATTCCTTGTTTTCACTGTATTTGATTTTGATACCCTGTGTATTGTATATATGTTTATCTGAATTAGGGAAGGAAAGGGGAACAAAAAATCTTTGAGACAAAGGATAAAGGGCAAAACAATGCAACAGCGATACTTATAAGTCAGTTTCTTAAAGATAGAAATCTTGTCTTAGAGAATTATATTTATTATACCATAACTTAAGAGTTTGATGAATCCAAGTTCCTTTTACTTTCTAAGTCCAGTGTGGATTTCTTTCTGCATGTAGAAGAGTTTATACAACTCTTTCATATCTCTTTAAAGGGTTAATTCTATTATACAGAAAACACACTCAATTAAAAAAATATATCTTAAGAACATTCAACTGTAGAGATGAGATGGGAGAAGGGTTGGTTGAGGAATGAGGATAAGTTTAAAAATCAATGATAAAAACAGCAAAATAAAGGTTAAAAAAAAGTAAAACATTGTCAAGTTATGTCCCTACTTCTGACTGTGGTTGAGAAGGCGATGATAGGAATTGTTCAGAATTCCTTAATCTCTGTCATTATCTTTTTGTATATGTCTCTCTATTCCATACAGATTATAAATGTGACTCTTCTTTACCCTTCAAGAACTTTTTAAAGTCAACTTTTGTGCAGGAGACATTTCAATAAGCATGATTTGCCTACCTGTTAAGTAACTCTTTTCTCATAATCATTCCTAGTTATTTGCCTTCCCATGCCCCCCCCCACCCAAAGTATGCATACAGGAGATAAATCCCCTTAAAAATGACTGCTAATTCCACAAGATAAAGAGCTTGAATAATATTGTATCCTTAATCTTATGCAAATATTTATCACACACGGAATATATGTAAATATATATACACATGGTATATGTGTATGTGTTTGTATGCATGTATGCATGCGTATGTGTATGTATATACCATAAATACCTGATAAATTAATCTTTGTGATGGTAAGTGGAATTTTAGTACATATAATCAAACACTAAATCTTTAGTTTGTATTTGTTTTGAACTACTTACATATATGTGCATATATATTATACATAATACACACATAAATTCTCTACCTAATATTTTTGTGTATACTAAGTATCTTTATTTTTCTTTTTACTAAAGGGATACATTATGTTACTGTGTTTAATTGTTTGGCCACCTGCTGCAACAGTGGCTCACATTATAAAGATATTTGGTCATTAGTCCACACAGTTATTTGACGCATGAGAATTATCATTTTTAATTTGGCACCAGTGAACTAACGCCCAGCATGTGTTCAAAACTGCCACCTCCAAAGAGCAATAAAAAGAGTTGACTAAGTTGATTAAGACAATAAAACTATCAGAACTGCTTCAGGGCTAACAAAAATGCTTACATCAACTCATACTGCTTATAATTGCTACTATTTTTTTCTATTTCTCTTAATGACAATAATACTAGCTACTAATTCAAGATGTAAATTAAAATGTACATAAAGTGATAATGTAGCACATAAATTTAAGAAATCACCAATTGAAACTTTAATTATCAAAATATTTCAATGTAAAATGTGCCAGTATAAGATTCTGAGCTAAATATATTCAAATTGCTGGCACTTGGTTTTCATAGAAGAGAACCACAACTATTAGAGAGAAAACGTAAATGAAATGTAACTGGGAAATGTTTTCTATAAATGGAAATGTTGGCCCCTTTTTTTCAATCCAGATACCTAACACTATACTCTTTCATATTACTCTGAAATAGAAAATGATATGTGTAGATTTTGATTACCTTGAGAATGCAAACTATATGTAGAGATAATCTCTTTTTGCAGATGAAGTAAATTTCATTTCTCATAATAATAGTGCATAAATGTGAATATGGTTGTATTTGGATTTCATTTGTTGTATTTTCTAACCTCCCTTTTTTCCTTATTAGCTTTACTTTTCATCAATAAAATTTTAATGTAGTTAGCAGTTTAGAAGCACAGTAAATTACTACACAATTAGATTAAATATTTTTATCCATATCTAACTGAAATAAAAGAAAAAGACCATGTATTCTCTCTAGAGTTTGAACACAGGGCCTCATGATTTCTAAGCTGACAAGATACTGCTGAGCCATGCCTCCAGCTATATCTTTCACTAGATGTTTGTTTTTAACATTACATCGT